GGATCAACTACTTCAGGGAGAGCAGACATGAATGAGAGGATCCGTTAGAATATCGTAACCAAATCTTTCCCCTTGCTCTACCTCTTAAATCTCGGGACGAGATTTCTTGTAGTGGAGGAGATTTGTGACGCCCGGATAATTAAGCTACAGTAATCCCACGCTAATGATGCCACGTCACCACGGTTAACCTCGCGATGATTCGAAACTGTTTCAAAATTGAAATTCAAATTAATGTTAACAATAAAAAAAAATCAAAAGTTAAAACAAAAATGTTCGGGGGGGTGCCATAAATTGCATATGTAAATATGGTGCAACAAACACATTATTATAAAATTCCTAGATATTTTATAGTGGTTGGAAACAACAAAACAATTAAATAAAAAGAAAAGCAGAACCTAATTAAACTGAAAAGAGAAGCCTCCCACTGGGCCAGTCAGCCCACCTGTTAGCCAGGCCGGTCCAACCGGCCCAATCGGCCTCGCCCACTCCCCTGGCCTATAACCCCTGTGGGCGACCAAACCCTAACCTCCACCGACAACCCTCCCCCCCACTCGCCCCCACGTCTCCCTCGCTTCCCCCCACTCTTTCGTTCTCTTCCCCCGATCTGGATCGAGGTCGGGGGCAGGGACCCGAAGCCGATGCGCCCCGTGGCGCCACCCACCGCGGGTCGGCTGATCCTCCTCCGCCGGACCGCCGCATCGCCGCCCCGCATCCGTCTCCATCCATTCGTCGCCGCGGACCCCGATCCCGTCGCCCCCATCGCTCGCCCTGACTCCGTCGCCACCCACCGCCACCTCACTGACGCCGCCCGCGCGGCCCCGCCGTCGCCCGCCTCCTCAACCTCCCTCCTGCGTGGATCCGGTCGGGGGCAATCGACGCCCCCGATGCCCTGCGCCGACGCCGGACCACCCCGCCGGAGTCACCCCGCCAACCGCCGTCGTCGGTGCCGCCTCCCCGTCTACGTCGCCCGTCCCCATCCTCCGCCTCGCCATCCACCCCGAGCCCGCGGCCCTCCCCGACCGGCCCACTGTGAGCCGCCGTCTCCCCTCCCTTTCTCTGTTTCGCCCGTTGGCCACCGTGGCCGTGCTACGCCCGGCGCGCCCACGGCCAGAGCCAACCCGCTCGCCGGTGCGCCCTGGCCCTGGACGCACGCTCCCGTCGAGCCTAGTCGCAACCGCCCACGCTCGTCATCCCGTCTGGCCTAGTAGCGCCGCCCTACTCCCCGGCCCGCACGGCTCGTCACCGCACCATCCACGGCCTCCTGCCGCCCGCTCCCCTCCACGGTTGCCCGCGGCGCCCAATGGCCTCGTCCCACTCGGGCGTGCCACGCCCGCGCCCGTGGCCCGTAACCGCAAGCACCAGCGCCCATTTGGCCTGATAGGCCACTGCCATTCGGGGCCCACGCCCTTGAAACGTTAAAAAAAAGGAATTAAAAATAATAATAATAATAATAATGAATTTTAATTAATTAACTAATTAGTTAACTAAAATTAATTAACTTTGCCAATCCTGTTTGGTTAACCTAATTAACTATTGTTAATTAATTAAACAATAATTAGATTAGTTAGATCCTAATTAAAATAAACAGAGTATGACATGCGGGACCCACACGTCAGGTTGACCATGTCAACTCTGTTGACTGCTGATGTCAGCATGACATCATGCTGATGTCATTAATTCATTTTCGAATTAATTAAATAATTAATTAAATTCCAGAAATTAATAAAATCTTTAGAAAATCATATCTTTTAATTCGTAACTCGGATTAAAATATTTTCAACATGAAAGTTGCTCAGAACGACGAGACGAATCCGGATATGTAGCCCGTTCGTCCGCCACACACCCTTAGCATACCGAACACGCAACTTCTCCCTCCGATACCTCTGCCCGAACATGCGAAACACCGGGGATACTTTCCCGGATGTTTCCCCCCTTCGTCGATATCACCTACCACTACGTTAGGTCACCCCTAGCACCGCATATTGCCGCGTCTTGCTTTGTGTTACATTTGATTGCTCTGTTATTTATTGTGTTCCCCCTTTGTTACTTCTTTCCGGTAGACTCTGAGACCGATGCCGATGTCCGTGTGTTCGACTACACCGAAGATGACCCCCCCTTGCCAGAGCAACCAGGCAAGCCCCCCCTTTGATCATCCCGATATCGCCCATTCCATTCTCTCATGCTTGCATTAGATTTTGCTATTGTTATTGTTTGCTCCTATTCTGATGCATAACCTCCTTTTGTAACCTGCTTATTGTTACCTTACCGGCTTATCCTAAACTGCTTAGTATAGGTTGGTTAGTGATCCATCAGTGACCCCCACCTTGTCCTTGTTGCCCCTGCTTCATCATTGAAGACCCGATCAACGGGATCGAAGACCAGGCCCCGGCACCGCACATCACTTTCCCCTTAGTTGCTCGACACTACTGGGATACTATCGAGTGCCGAGGGTGAGACCTCTACAACACTTCTGATGTTAACCCTGTAGTGTAGCTATTCGGTCGTGGTCATCGAGGGTGATTTCCTCTTTAACCAGTTCTGATACGACTCTGTCGTGCAACCCCTCAAGTGTGAACCTCGAGGGTGATTCCTCTACGTTCACCTTGATGATTACATTGAGTGGAACCCACCGAGGGTGATTCCTTGGGTTTTCCTCTTGATGTTTGGAGTCACGGATACTTGGACTTTACAACTGTTACTTGGAAAGTGATGTGGAGACGGGTTGACCTGGAAGGTGCCCGTGAGATAATTACGAGGCGTGGCCGGGCATTCTTAGCCCTTGCCGCAAGTCCTCGAGACGGGGCAACGGGGTCACCTCTTTCGTGAGTCTCTGCTTGTTACCGCGCGTTCCTAATCCACTACGATTTGGATATTTGATCCGAGGGGCCTCTGGCCTGATAGCACTAACCATCACGTGGGCATAGTATGGGCGTTCTGCGTCGTATACATCAGCCAAAGCTTAATAGACGTCAGCGACTGAGTGGCGCGCCGGGTTGGACTGCGCAAGCGCCTGCCTTGTTGAAGGAGGTAGCTAGGTCTGCTCACCGGCCGCGTACACAACGTGCAGGAGTTTCCGGGGAGATGGCCCATGACCCCTGGGGGCATAGGTTTAGTCCGGCGTGCTGACCTCTCTGTTAAGTCTAGGTTGGGTTGCGGCGTATTGTTTGGCCGAGGCCGGGCATGACACAGGAAAGTGTGTCTGGCCGGAGTTAATCAAGCGTGGTGGGTAAGTTGGTGCACCCCTGCAGGGAAGAACTAATCTATGCATAGCCTGTCCTACGATAACGGACACTTGGAGTTGTATCCCGATCGATACAACTAGAACTGGATACTTGTGATGAGAATTGGATGGTGATGAGGTTTTGATTGTGATGATAACTGGATAGTATGGCTCTGGGATTGCTTTCTCGCAGGGAGTCGAGAAAGGACCTCTGGCCGAGGTTGATAACACTACTACCGCTTTACTTTATGCTACTCTACTCCCTCCTGTTGCTGCAAGATGGTGGGTTCGAGAAGATGCTAGTCTTCGATAGGACTAGGCCTTCTCCCTATTCTGGCATTTCTGCAGCCCAGTCCACATATACAGCCTTCCTTTGATAATGTTGCATATGTAGTGTAGATCCTTGCTTGCGAGTACTTTGGATGAGTACTCACGGTTGCTTTGCTTCCCCTTTTCCCCCTTCTTTCTTCTTTCTGGTTGTTGCAACCAGATGGTGTAGTCCAGGAGCCAGATGCCACCTTTGACGACGGCTGCTACCCCAGGGTGCCTACTACCACGTGACGGACGCTGACGACCAAGAGTAGTTAGGAGGCTCCCAGGCAGGAGGCCTTGCCTTTTCGATCGTAGATGCTTTTGTGCTAGCCTTCTTAAGGCAAACTTGTTTAACTTATGTCTGTTCTTAGATGTTGTTGCTTCCGCTGACTCGTTTGTATTCAAGCTGATGTATTCGAGCCCTCGAGGCCCCTGGCTTGTAATATAAAGCTTGTATTATTTTAATTTGTGTCTAGAGTTGTGTTGTGATATCTTCCCGTGAGTCCTTGATCTTGATCGTACAGATTTGCGTGTATGATTAGTGTACGATTGAATCGAGGGCGTCACAAGCGATGGGCATGTCCGCGTGGAAAGCCGCCGCTATGCACAACCCGAATGAGGAGACGCCCTCAACACCATCTTTCGGTAGCATTCGCCGCATCTACTTTGCAGTGTGCCGTCGTGTTTTTGTGAGGAGTTAAGCCGACCGACTACATCAAAACTGGCAAAGGTGGGTGGCTACGGAAGTGCAGCCGACAGCAGATTGCTGAACGACAAAGATGGTGACGATGATTGACTCGGAGGACATCTACTCATGGCAGTTGTGGCAAATAACCTAGACGATGACGATGAAAAGGAGGAGAACCCTTTTTTATAGGCTCGTACAACGATGGCGATGGGTATAAATTTTGTAGGAGTCTTCCAGAGATGACATGATATAGAGAGAGGAAGAAGAAGATAGATACGAACTGCCAATCAAAGCAGCCCCCTTCCCCAGAAAACATGCATCATGGTCAAATCATATGTAGCAACAACCCATCGCCGGACAATCCACAAAGTTTATCGGCAAACGAAATCACAGGAGAATCGTTAAGCAAACTCGGGAATCGTACGCTACCATAACCTAAACCAATGCATGTGTCATTTCTTGACTTTTAATTTTTAAGATTGCAAAAAAATCTAAAGAAAACCCCACAAAAATCAAACGGACTTGGAAATAGGGATTCTAAGATGCATGCTCTCAGCCATGCCATCAAATGGATTTATATCTACTCTACTCTTATAAAAAACAGAATTGATAATGATGGTGTGCCTGCCATCCTGCAATATAAGCCGTCCGATTTATATCTAACAGAAGGAAGGAAACTATGATAATTTTATAAAAAAGTACCCACACCTCTTTTCACATTTATAAATAAAGTCTTTCCTTATTTATCCTTTTCTCTCGTAAGATAAACTACTCATATAAATGCATCTTGATGTTATCTTGCTAGTTCAAACAAAATGCAAAACATCCTCTTTCCAAAATCTAGTTGGGTCCCCCGGAACATCGCACCACCCGGCAACATACATCGCGCCCAAGCAAATCCCATTCCGCGGGCCGGATTCCCCACCACTTACCCACCCAAACCCTAGGTTTCCCATGGTGCAAGCCGCACCCAGCTCCGCCACCGCCACCGCCACCGCCGCCCCCGTCCCCGACGCCGACCCCGCCACCCCGCCGTCCCGTCTCCTCTCGAAACATCGCCCGCGACGCCGTGCAGCGCCCCCCCGCCCGACCTTGCCGCACCCCGCGCCCACGCGCGGCCTCCCCGATCTGAACCGCTGCCACTGCTGCTCCGTTCGCTTCCAGCAGCCGGCGCCGGGCGCCAAGCGACGTCCACTCCGTCCCCTCCGCTCCCTCTGGCGCGTCGTCCTCCTCTGCTCTGAATGTATCTCCCTCCTTCGCTCTGGCGCCGTCTGCTCCTACTGCCTCAACCTGGACAACCTGCCGCATGATGACTCAGCCACCTGCCGCAGCTGCAATTGCTGCGTCCACCGCCACTGCATCCCCGCTGAGCACCGTACTGCCCTGATCCAGCCTGTAGATTTGGAGAATTTCGTCTGCGTCGATTGCTGCCCTACAGTAAAGGTGGGTAGCAAGAATGTGGGCGCCGAATCTGTTCCTAAGCTGGAGTTGGTCATCAGAGAGCCTAGTCCTGCAGTGCGGAGGAAGGGGGGGCCTGTCGCTGCTGCTAAGTTGAATTCGCCGAGGAAGGTTGTGGAGGAGGTGAGGCCAGCTTGGAAGGATGCGATGGCCCTCGTTCCTGTAGGCGAGGAGTCAGAGAGCAAGGGTCCCAGTGATCCGGACCTGCCAGACGAGGCATTGGCGCTGCAGCTTCATTTGGCGATCAACGGGTCACCGAGGATTTCACGTTCTGGCAGTGCATCTGTGTCTGTCTTGGCAGGGCAGGGCAAGAGGCAGGGCAAGAGGCAGAATGGATTGGTTTATGGAAGGAAGGTTAATGAGGATCTGGGACTTTGTGTAACCAATATGATGGATCATCTGGACTATCTTGAGACCGGAGCAGAGATGGGAAGCAACTGGAATGCTAGTCAGGATTTAGGATCTGATCCCACAGCCCCTGTGGTTCTTGCACTGGAGTGTAAAGGTAAACGCCCTCAGGAGAGTCTGAGAGGTGAAAGGAAAGGTCTTCCTGAGACTAAACAACATAATAGTTTGGTGGATTGGCATAAGGTGGATCGGTATGAGAAGAAGTATAGCAAGAGGAAATCAAGTAAGCAGACAGATGTTGAAAGCACGGGAAACAAGACCTTGCCCAATGGAAAGGACATGGATGTTGGTGAAGGTGGTGAGGGCATAACTCCTATGACATAGACTGCTGCTTCTTTTTGGAGGTACGGAGAATTCTTGCACTATTTGTAACTATAGTTATATATTTGCTTTCAGTCTTGCACTATTTGTAACTATAGTTATATATTTGCTTTCAGTAACTGTATCCTGTGCTGCCCTCTACATTGTTGTTTCAGTTGTAGGCAAACAGCATCTACTACTTTGTTGGTAGCCAAAGCATAAGTTATTTATTTGCTATTGAAAAGGCATGTACGCTTCAAAATGCCGTTGCAAATATGGTGTGGCGATGCTAGCTAAATAAACTAGGAATTCATACTGTTCAGTAGTTGACTGGTTTGTGTGGTAGGTATATTTGTCCATATCAAGATATGTAAGAAAGCTTAGTATCTAAAAAATGAGGCAGTAAGCAAACCCTCATTTGGGAGGAACTTATAGCTTAGTCAAGTAGAATTTTGTGCTGCCTGATGCTCCATCTAACAGCGGATCAGTTAGGACATGCCTGTACACTCAAATATGTAAGAAAGCTAAGCTCCTTTGTGTCTCTGGCTCCCTAGCTCCCTGTCCATTTATTTTCATAGAGAGGTGATCATTTTTGCATTTGTTGAACCTATTCTTTTTCAGCTGTTTGGGAAGCAAGCCCATTTGAAAATGATTTACCACTTAGTGTAACTGATGAGTAGAGTGTTTCGGTTACTGTATGGGAATAGTGGCATTGCTTTTGTTGTATGTACCTGCATTCCCATTTTGTTGGTCACTTACCTCAGGTGTTGGGGATTTTAGTGTGTTTCATTAGTGCGTCGGTAGTTCGAATGCGGTAGAATTGCCATCAAGAAGGCTAAGGTCATGGTCGTATAACAGGAGGAGATTGTTGGAAGGTTCTTGCATCAGTAGATAAATGGATGTGCGAGAGTCTTGTGGGGAATATTATTATTAAAGGATGTCTAAGATCAAAAGATGCTGGTTCCATAGGAGTTCATGTTGTGTTAGGAAAAGTGAAGGATAAGCATGCACTGCTTAAGGATGTCATCTATCTATGTTTGAGCTAGGCAAGAAGAATCGATCTATTCTCTCCCAATTATTCGCTCATCTAGCCTAGGCCTGTATGATTCCCTGTAACCATGCCATCTAGTACCTTCAGCATTGTACTCCATCTGTTTCTAAATATAAGCCTTTTTAGATATTTCAATACGGACTACATAAAGATGTATATAGACATATTTTAGAGTGTAGATTCACCCATTTTGCTCTGTATGTAGTCCATGTTGAAATCTCTAAAAGGGCTTATATTTAGGAATGGAGGGAGTAGTTATACAAATCATGTTTCACAACATCCAGTTGAATATGTGCTACATAATTGGATGATTGGATCAACTATGGTAGAGTGAAATAATCAAATAAAAAGATCATTATCACAAGAAAAATGATGATTATGTCACACAACCTGGATCTCTATTACCACTAGTAAGTTGCCGGTGCCATGCAAATGTAATTGACATTAAATTTTATGTTTGACTTGAGTAAACTCAGTCTTTTAAGTATGTTTAGTCGAGTTATATGTTGAATTAATTCACTTTGGGATCGAAGGCCATACATAGGTACGACTCATATTATGTGCAGTGCAATTTAGGACAATAGACTGGCTAACGTTTGTAGGAGAGGAGTGTTGACTATCTCGAATGTGAGTTTGGGAGAGTGCAGTGCAGCAGTTGGAATTTACCCAAATCACATTCGATCTTGATAAGCTGAAATCCAACGACTCCATCTTCTTCGACATCCAACTTCCTTCCTTGATTTTGGTGGCTACGACAGTTGCAAGTCTGGTAGCGCGGCCTTGAGACAATGGTGAGGAACAATAGAAAGGAGAAGAAAAATAAAAATAAAATGAAAAGTCAAATCCATTTGACGACTACTATATACTTCTACTTGAGTCTAGTATTTGTTGTTTTGTTAGCTTTAGCTGCTGTTTTCTAGAGTCTTCTAGCTATGAGTAGAAGTTGAGGTGTGAAGGTTTCCCAATGCCTATTAATAGAGGTCCTCACCTCTAGTTTGTAAGCATACTATGCATCCCACTACCTATAACAGAACTCTTATAATAGAACTTAGTGTTCTGATCTAAGGTCTTGGATAAGATCTTGTGCTCTAGGAGGTTTGGGGTGAACTCCTGCTGCCATATCAGCCTATATTCGCCTCCCAACAAGTTGAACTAGTTCCTTCAACACTAGTGATGCACACTCAGCAAGGTGTAGTTCCTCCACAACCTTGTGCTGTGTCAGATAAGGTCATCCATCTACCTCCCCCCCTCCCCCCCTCCATACGACCAGACCACCAACTCCAAAACTTTACAAGTAGGAATGATTTATTAAGTTCTTCTGTTAATATGTTGTTAACCCTGTGAGTATTGTGTTCAGCAAGATAGTCAAGTATTCAACTATATTGCTCACAGTATTATCATGTATTTTAGTGTTTGAACAGTTACCTGCATTGCTAGAAATTACTTTTGACATTGCTGTTAAACCTTCGTAAGGTGATAGGAACCTCTGCCATGTTATTTTTTTTACCCTTTGCTGTTGCAGCCACACCAATGAAACTTCTTGTGATGTAACAGGTAATTCGTGATAACAGTAGTTTGCATCCAGCAATACAGGATTGAAGCTAGCAACTTGTTGGTGGCTTTGATAGCAACTACAATCAAAGTTATAGGTATGTTCGGACAAATGAGATGCTTCATGAAGGAATCAGTAATAGCAGTACTTCATGAACTTTTTGTGGCTGTGAATTAGCAAATACAAGCGAAGTTATAGGATGTTTTGACAAATGAGATGCTTCATGAAGGAGTCAACAGTAGCAGTACTTCATGCCAGCTACATGCAATCAACAACCAATAACATATTAAAATTTTAGTCGCTTGTTTTCTTACAAGTGATGGTTGAACAACATTAAGTGTTGAGGATACCAGCGAGGCATTCATGGAATTGTGGGTTGAAATGAATTTTTAAGTATTGGAGCTCTGCTTGTAGATGGTGCTAAAATTATGTGACATTGTATGTTTAGTGAATGGTAATTTTTAATTTCATGTTAGACTTATACTAGATTCCAGGAAGTCTTTTTTAATTCTTAAACTTCAGTACCTGAAATGTCAACTGCCGATCATCAACAAGAAATGAGATGTAGAAACACTAATTTAGATGATTATGGTAGATTTAGGGAAGCTAACCCTTTGGTCCAGTCCCATTTTGATCGGGAAGTCATCAGTGTCCCCATCACTTGTTCAAACATTTGTCACAACATTATTGTACATGTCCTTGATGAGGGTAATGTACTTTGTTGAGACTTAGTGTTTTCTCCAAGGCCCAACACATGACATTTTGCGGTATCTTATCATAGGCTTTCTCCAAGTCAATGAACACCATAGCAGGTCCTTCTCTTGCTCCTTGTATCTCCCCATAAGTCGTCGTACCAAGAAAATGGCTTCGATGGAAGACCTCCCAGACATAAAGCCAAACTGATTTTTGGTCATGCTTGTCATTCTTCTTAACCGGTGCTGAATGACTCTCTCCCATAGCTTGATTGTACGGCTCATCATCTTAATTCCACAGTAATTAGTACAACTTTGAACATCCCCCTTGTTCTTGAAGGTTGGTACTCCTTCCCATTATGTAGGGTGTATAAGCTTTTGGCATGGAAATTAGCGCAAGGCTGGTTGAAAATTATTGAGCCATGGTTACAGAAAGTTTTCTCCATTATATCCTTTAACAATCATGGTTGGCTGATCCACGATTGGTTAGCTTACACTAATTGCACATGAGAGAACATCGAGAGTTGAGTGTTAAAACGCCTTAGAATTTGGGATTTTCTAAAAGGCTTAGTCGCCTAATATTTTGGGAAGGAGGGAGTACTAATATACTTCACCTCCATTCTTCTGGCATCTTGTTTGCTCAAAAAATTGAGGTTGAAAAGCTTATTTAGCCATACTATCGCTGTCTTCGAGGCCTCTCCACACCTCAATGCGGATGCAATCAGGGCCCATCGCCTTGCCTCAGAACGCATGTTAGTATCATCAAGGGAGTCGGCCAGTTCAATGGTAGAGCTCTCATTCTCTCCATTGAACAGCTTGTCGAAGTGCTCCCGTCATCTATCTATGCTTAATCTCCTCGTCCTTCACTAGGAGCTGATCTGATCCGTCCTTGATGCATTTGGCTGGGTCGGTCGACATCCCTCGTCTTCCTCTCTCGGATCTTTGGTCATCTTATAGATTTTCCTTTTGCCTTACTTCGTGTCTAAGCGCTGGTAGAGGTCCTCATACACCCGATCCCTTGCCTTACTCACAACTCGCTTTTTTCTATGTTGTCTGCACTCCTATCCCGGTGTAGGCGTATGAAACAATCTTTTTTCTCCTTAATAGCCTTTTGGGCATCATCGTTCCACCACCAGGTATCTTTAACTTTGCTTCTACTTCCCCTGGCAACTCCAAACTCCTCTGAAGCCACCTTAAGAATGCAAGTTGCCATCTTCATCCACATATTGTCTATATCACCTACTTCCTTCCAAGGACCCTCCTTAATGACCCTCTCCTTGAAAGCCTGAGCTGTCTCCTCCTTGAGCTTCCACCACTTAGTTCTAGCGACTTTGGCGCACTTATCCCGCTGGACATGAATCCGAAAGCGAAATTCAGCCACCACAAGCTTATGTTGAGGGACAACACTCTCGAGGTATCACCTTACAATCTAGGCAAGCACGCCCTTCTTCTCTTCTCAAGAGGACGAAATCAATCTGGCTAAGAGTGTTAACCACTAATAAAAATCTAGATGCGATTCTCTCTTTTTAAAGTGGGTGTTAGCTACGATCATGTTGTAGGCTAGAACGAAGCTTAAGACATCTCCTTGATTCCCGATGCCATAGCCAAAGTCCCCATGCACCGCTCCAAAACCTGTGTTAGATGTACCCACATGGGCATTGAGGTCTCCTATGAAGAGCTTCTCGCCTATAGGTACACTTCTAACAATGTCCTCTAGGCCTTCCCATTA